GCACTTGGATTGGCAGCACTCTAGATGGCTGCAGCCTGTTCCTGCTCTTGGATGGTCCTACAGCTTTTCCCAGTCAAATTTATCAACTCAATAAAAGTTAGAAACTTTCCAAAAATAGCTTCATTTCCTCCTGTCCTTGCCATGGCCCAATACAGGGAATGGCTTAACTGAGCTGCCCTTCTTTTGCATTCGTTGTGCTCTGGAATGTGACTGTTACCTAACCAGCAGCAATGAATGTTTTAGTGTGCCCATATAACGCAGGTCCATGCACTGTGCTCATTACTAAAACATAAAACTTATCAGTCCTTGCCACACTGGCAGTGCTCTAAGATTTATGTCACCAGCACCTCATTAGGAACCCTCTAAACTGTGCTCTTCACTGAGCAAAGATGGTTTAACAAGTCCACAGCACACTGAAGTGTCTTGTTTGAGTGGAAATTGTCTGGCAGTCACAACTGATGTTTCTAGCAGAACCACCCCAGCTCATCAGGACAGTGAGGGAGGGAGAGCAGGCAGGCTGTCTGGGAGTGGTTGAATGTTTTATCCTTCTCATTGGGCATACTGATCTGTAATATTTATTTCATGTTAGTATTAAACATTTTGCTGAGGATGTGGTTGATGTACGGAAGTTAAAAGTGAGGAATCTTTTGTCAATGAATGTCAGAGATTGCAGATGCATTTAAACCCAAGGAATAGCCTTTCTCTAAAATGATTGGAAAGAGTAAAGACATTCTCAAGTGGGGAGAGTAGCAGAGGACAGAGGAGGTACCTCGAGCTGAGCAAGGGAAGGTCTGAGGATTTGTGCTTTGGATGTTCGTATGGCAACACAGTTGCTGCACTCTGATGTTTGAGCCCCACCTTGCTCACTGCATCATGCTTTTACCATATTAGCTGTTTCTTATGCTGTGGTAAGCTCCTCATGGCAGTGGCACCTCTCCTGTGTCCATCTGGCATGCTCCATCCCACGTGTTCTTGCCACCAAATAACAGATGAACAGCGAACATCTGAATGGCTGTTGTTATGCTGCTGCTTTCCAGCCGTGCTATCACTTTTAATAATTCAGAAGTGATGGAGAGGTGGGGGAGTGAAAGGGCTGCAGCAATCTTTGTTTCTCTCTGTAGCGTGAGATTCCTCCTTGGTGGCTCTGTAGTTACCAGGGAAACAGGAGAGGGATGGCACAGCACCTCGGGGCTGGGGTGGGACTTGGGGGTCGCTCCCTGGCAGCTGCACGTCTGCACCAAGGGGGAAAACAAGGACTTGCCTTTTTTTTCTTTCCCTCAATGGTTTTTGTGAAACTTAATTGTTAAACAGGTGATGCTCCCAAATGCTGGTGTATTTGTTTAAAAGTCTCTTTATTACTGATTCTGGTCAAAATATGCAGTCCTAGAAAATGGGCATTACTAGTAATCTGGAGGAGCTGGGTGAGGTAGTGTAGGAATATGATCATTAAATCTTTCTCTGGTATTAGGTGGAATCCTGTCACTACTGGAAGGTTGTTTAATGTGTTTGAAATGCATTGGCACTTCAGGGAATAGATTTACTGGAAATCACTTCACTGACATTTGCTCAGTGCAGCATTCTCTGTTCTGATAAAGGTTGAATCTCATTTTTAGTAATTAGCGTCTATATCCTAATCACCTCTTGCACTAGCTGTTCTGACCTGAATAATGCCAGTCTTGGAAGCTCCAGGGGGAGAGGATGGGAGCAGCCCTTACATCTCTGGGTTGTCGTCGTAGCTCCGCAGGGCTGAGCAGTGTGGGCATGGGGAGGTGGAGGATGAGTAGGTGTGCTTACTCCACATTTTTAGGGCTGCCTAATCTACTGGCATTAGCTGTGCTATTTGTTTTATACCTGTGTAGGTGCTTGGATTTTCAGCAAATATGCTGGAGTTATTCTGAGAGGATGACTTGAAAACCTGTTTTACCCAGGGATCAGAGTGGAATTTTGCCGCGATGGAGAGACGGGACGCAGCTTGATGCAAGCAACATGTCCGTTTATTGTTGTTTTTCACAAATCCTTATAGTCCCTTTGCTTAGCATATTCCCTGCTGATTTGCTTATTCTAAACATTAGGTGTGTACCAATTGGTCAACCTAAGGCACAACAACTTGTTGTTTTACCCTAGCAACATCCCAACCCGGGGCTGGTGAGCCAGCACTGTTCAAGGGTCCCATCTCCACACCTACTCCTCCCAAGGCCCTCAGGCAACAAGTCTTAACACATCTCCTGACTAGCCCAGACATGCTGTAGCCTTGCTGAATGCAGCCAGGCCACTCCCCACAGAATTTGGTGGCTCGTTTGAGATGAGCAATTTGGCTGTTCTCTAACTACAGGCAGGAGACTCTTCAATTTAGTGTCTCTGTCTCTCCTTTCAATGACAGACTAGATAAGGTCAAAATAGATTTTCTGTAACAAGTTGGTTTGTTGGCAGCTGCTTGGTAACTGTTTGCTTGATTGCTTTAGAATGGGACCAGTACCATAAAATACGTTCTTCCAAATTTCATGGCAAATAAATACTCTTTTTCCA